TAGAGTGGTCAGGTCTTGGATTTCAAGATTTTAAAAATTGAAATCTATATTGTATTACTAAGTTCGTAATCAATTAAAGCATTCTTTAAAAAGCCAAAATGTCATTTTATTTGCATACCTTGTTTAAGTATAATGCGTTCTGTTTCCTCTCTAAGTGTCTATTGCACAGGGTTTTTCAAATTACATGTATGTTACATTTTTAAATCAAAATATTTTACTAACGTATCATTGGAATGTTATAATGTCATAAATATCTCTGAAATTGACATAACAATCAACATTTTGCTTAATTGTTTCGTGTGTACAGTTATTTTTTTTAAATATAGAAGTTAATAAAGGATAATATTCCAAAAGGATGGTAACTTTCTTTGATGTTAGCGAAAAGGCTAGTAAAATAGGGGACTTCCATTATAATCAGACTAATGAAAACATTTGTGTGTGTCTTGTTTTTTGTGTTTGCAAATTTTAGATTCAAAATGTAACATATATTATGAAACACCCTGTGTATAGTTTTGTTTTTGAGTATCTTTTAATACTCAATTACATGTATACAATTGTTCACATCTTCTGTTGTCTGTTGTGTAAAATTATAACATATATTTAAAGAATTGTGTATGTGTCTGTGGTACAAATCCCAGCCTTTTTATGCTTTATCAATTGTTTATCTTATAAATACCGGTATTCACTTATGGCTGTACACCAATAAAAGTGAATGATTGCGCACTTCTGCAAGTGTCAACTGCATACGTTTTGTATGAAATATGGAGATAATGCACATATTCTGGCTGATAAGTCAATTCAAGCAGTACAAGTCAGGAGCAGAGCAAACGATGACCTCTGAATTATAAGAGATGGAAACAGGTGCAATGGAGGAGTGAACATCCTCTGCCAACGAGTCACCCAGTCGTGTGCCAGCTCTTGAACACGATTGATGAAAAAGGAAAAATCTGTACACAATTCAATGTGCAACTTATAGCCAAACAATTAGTATGAAAAACATTTGCTGACAAGGTCATTGTATCAACCAAAGAACTGTGAAATGATGACATTAAACGAGATTGTTGACCTTCTTGGTTCATTATCTTGTTTGGCAATATCTTGCCTTGTTTTAGATAATCTTCGTACGTAGGGCATGCTCTAGTATATCCAATCAACAGTTGAGAGACATAAACTCCATATGCAGTTGATAAGAGTATATTGCTACGTAAGTAAAGGAAGCGAGTGATAAAAAAAAGTTGAAGTCATCGCGTTTATCATTAGGTTTGTTGTTAGGTTACCATCAACATCTTTTTCTGGCAAAATATCAAAATTTGAAAATATAGATGAGGATCTGTGGCATCTTTATTTCAAACACACTTGGATATATCAACTGTTTTCTTCTTCTCATGTATAAGATTTTGAATAAATTCTGCTTCATCTGAATACAAAAATATGTCTTTGAATAACGGGTACTCATTGTACAAAATGCTCTTTTATCTTTGGCTCTTTTACAACTGTCTTTGTATTGCTCAACTTAGAAAAAAAAATGAATTCTCACAATTTCTTTAAATTTGTATAAGGTATTGGTCGTCCCTGGCCACTTACCAGTTCCACCACATCCCTCCACTCCCACCTCATGATTGATCTAAAGCAGTCACCTTTTTGTCCTCTTAAAGTATAGAGAATTCACGTCATTCGTGGTCTGATAAACAGGAGAGCTTTTCGACATTCTGAGGCTGTTACTTGCATTAAATAAAATGTCAGGGTTACTTAAGGTTGTAATCGATCGTTAGAAGACCGTGATGTCCCATCTCTCCTGAAGAAACAAACACCTTCCAAATGAAAAATCCGATAGAAAAGATTTTTTTCTTTCAAATCATACTCATGTGAGATAAAAAAAATTCTTTCATATATTTTATAAAATTTTTTTTGTTATTTGTTTTATATTTTATTTCGAATCTTTCTTCTGAAGTGTTTTAATTGCGAAGTGGTGATTGTAGCATTATGTAATGACTGAGTAGCTCATATCAACTGTTTCATTTTAAACATCTCTGCTTTTCGGGCCTGTTATCCTTTTTGCTTTATTTTTCTTCGTCAGTTTTATTCGACTAAAATAGTCAGATCTCTGTATTTGTTGAGAGAGTATATCATCCTTCTTTGCTATGTCCATTTGTTGATATTTTTTAAAAAGTGATTCACATACAGTTTTGCTTCGATGTTCTAAAGTACGGTTGGATTACATGAGAATTTTCTCCTTATAACCAACGGTTAACCAATAACCAAGGAAAGACAAACTGGTGTGAATTTTTTTTCCTTACATGGTGTGTACATTATTTGATCGACATACAAAATTTAAAAAAAAGTTCAATATCGGTCTAAATTTAAAAATTATACAAGTCAAATGAATCGGGATACATATTTTAGCGTTTCTTTACTTTTTAATAATTTTTTTTATGTTGTTGACATGCTTTCGAAAATTAGATATTGTTCTTATTACAATAGTGCACAATATTGGTCTAATTTCACTTGAGGGATAGACATACCAGTGTCATATCAAGGTTCCATTATTTGTTCCCTGTTTTGAATTTCATTTCATCTTTTATAAAATTCTTAAAATATGGTACTTCTATTGCACTTAGGTACGTTTGAAAAGAACATGATAACAAATATTAAAAATCCACCATCATACTTTTCTTTTGATAAGTGATTCACCAATATCAATATCATTCATACCAAATCAACTTAAGGACAGACGATGCGTTTCTCAATAAATTAATATATAATTTTTCTCAAGATTTTTTCATTGAATAATTGCTACTTTAACATGTTTCCTCACAAAAATTGAGGTACCTTACCAGGCACTTGTGCAAGTTAGCAGAGGATGGTGTTTCCTATATAACCTTTTTTAACAAAATATTTAATTTGCTAATATGACCTTTTATGTTTTGATTTTTTAAGAAAATTAGAAACCTGTTAAGAAATAAAGAGGTAATCAAAATTTTAAAGTATTATTTTTCATAAATTATGAAGATTTACAAAATAGAAATTTGAGGAAGGTATCGTCTGACCTTAAAGACCTTATTGTAAACTAAACCATGATCTATATAAAGGAAACATTATAAATAGGCCCCTATGTTATGTGAAGAAAATGAAGATGTACATGTATATCATTTCTTTTTTGCTTGCAAAATTTGTTCTTATGCAAGAAGTATTTTTATCGCTTGTTCATGGCATCTTCGCTAGCGAAGATGGTTCATGGTTGATTTGGTTATTATCTATTATTATGTGGTGATATTGATTTGCCTCTGTTTGCTGCTGTTAATAAATTTTTTGACGAAACATATAGATATTCTTTTTTAATATGTTATGTACTTGGTTTTTTTTTGTTTGTATCAATTGTATTTTTTTCTTCTTTTATTTGCATGCATGACATATTGTAATACCGGTATATATAAGGTGATGAACATACATGTAGTTTGTTGTACAGAACTTGTTTCCGACCCTTTTGATTTACTTAAAAAAATATGTTCAAAACATGACATGGGTGTGATTGAAAACTTAAAACTTTTCAATAAATGTGTTTAAAAAAAAATTACCAAAAAATGTTACAAATGCAAACAGAATTGTCACAAATACCATTTAAAGTAAAACTCAGTGGAACCATAGTGGTATCAAGACTTCTTAAATTGGGTTAGGTGTCTTCAAAACAGTTTTAAATATTTAAGTCGAACTACTTATACAAAACATTACTAATTTTATACACTTCATTATTGATTAAAGCCTAACTAAAGGAAATGGCCATAATAAATCAAATTGGATTCTTAAACAACCATAAAACGTTCATCTAAGGAAATAAAAAAAGTGGGTGATTTCAGATCTTATTTGGAACTTTTCTTTTTACTTTATAAAATGACGGCAACTGGAGAAATCGATGATGTCGAAACGATATATCCCGTTGAGCTTGAAATTAAAGAAACCACTGAATAACAAATATCTGTTTCATTTTTGGAAGATGTTAATGGTAATCTTTATGATAAACGTGATGACTTTAACTTTTCATAATCGTCAACTCCCCTAAGGCTTTCTTAAATATACCTTTATCACCCGCATTCGATGTTAACATCTCTAATTTGATTCGATAGGCGATTGCATGCTCTACATATGAACAATTTCTACAACGAAGTAAGTTATTGAAAAACAAGCTGGAAGACAAAATAATATCAGCAGTTTTGTTCAAAGTCACAATTTCGTACGTTCTACGGTCGATACAATGGCCTTATCAACAAACACAAACTATCTTAAGTCAAATGCTATCTGACGTTTTTCATGCTTATTTTTAGACCAATATTTACACACTGATTTGTCGACAGATTTTCCCGGTTTTTCACACGGCGGATGTGACCGGTCGAAAGGGGATGTTCACTCCTCCATGGCACCTGATCACATCTCAGTTATTTTAGGGGTCCATGTTAGCTCTGCTCCTGGTTTGTGGTGTTTGATGGACTTTTGAGCTTGAATGCTGTTCGTTATCTTTGTATATTTTATGGAGAAGTTAATTATTTTCTGTTCATTTAACTGTAAATACTTAATCTTTGGGACTGAACATCGATTTGACTTTAAGATTTTTTTCATTGTTGACATCTTAAAATCTTATTCATTCAAACAACCGATCTCGGAGGAATTAAGAGTAGATTAAAAGTAGTTGTTTAAAAACCCAAAGCTGTTCTTAAAAGAATTTTGGAATAGGAGACACACAGTCCCGTACAAACAATTAGACGCATCCTTCTGTTAAGTCATAATCATAATAATTAAAGATTTGCTTTTGTATACCTTCCATGCAGTTTTATTGCCTTTTACAAAAAAAGGTTGCCCATGGACCACAACGTTAACCTGTGTAACTTTGTCTCCTGAACTCTCTTAACATTTATATATCTTTATATTTTGCCTCTTCCATTTTAACCCATTTAGGCTTTGTGCAAAAGGCAACATTTTACTTTTTAACTTAGTACTGAAAGTGAACAAGAAAAACATACATTTATTATGACAAATACGATATACGATATAGTTTATTCAACAATGCGGATATTTGTTAACTAAATACTAGATGGCACCGGGTTGTAAACATGTCCGTTGCTCTTGATTTTTTCTCGAGGAGAGGAACATTCGTTTGAGGAAGTAACGGAAGTTTGTTTATAATATCTCTGTATGCTGCCCCCTACCGACGTATTTACAGTGTCATGGCGGCGGAAAATAGACATTTCAACTTCGTCCGCCACTCTGACGTAACCACAAGTCAAATGACTAAGTACTCTTCGGAATCCATTCCTGAACTTTGCATTCATCCAGCAGTAGATAAAGGGATTGTACATGCAGTTACTCATCGCGAGCCAATGGCATGCCATCCAAATATAGTTCATACCCTTCGTGTCGTAGATGCTGGGGTTGACGTCGCCAGCGATGTTGATGACGTTTAATGGAAGCCAGCAAGTAGCATAGATTGCCACAACAACTATCATCATCCGGATTATCTGAAAATACATCGAACATATTCAAAACCTAATTATAATGCACTGTGTTAGGCTTTTATACCATAACTTAGAGTAATATTTCCCTATCGCTGCAAGAAATTGACGAAAGAAAAAGCAGATCAAAATCTGTCCGTGTTTTTTCTTGAGCACTAGAAGACACGAACGGATAAACATGAAAATCGTTCATCGGTAAACTTTCTTACTTTTTATCAGTTATACCACAAAAATGTCATACGACAAACTTAATCATATTTTATTGCTATCCCTTTAATCTATGGCATCATTATTGGTCTGCCGTTGTCGTTGTTATAACCATCTGTAGCGTCTCCTAACCGTTTTATCATCATGTTACATCTACCCTCCCGCTCAAGGGCGGACTAGATTACGGATTTTTATGTTATCATAATGAATGTCCGTAAGTTGCATGTCTTAAAAGAAAATCATTTAGCCATCATTTTCTATGGATAACTAATGAGTAAGTGAATGTAAAGACTATATTGCCAATAGATACACGAATTTTAGTGTTGTTTTATGGTCGGGGAAGGTGGAAAAGACCACATATATTTCAATGAAATTCCTCTGCCGGCAATAACTGTTAAAGGATTGACATATTTTGACAGTTCGTTTTATCATATGATTGAAGTAAGCATAAAGGTTACAAAGTCTTTATGAAGTCTTTTGCGCATTGGCATCTACGTTACATCACAGTATTCAACTAAAGCATATTCAAAATAGTAATTTAATACTTGTGTACAGCGAAGTTCTTTTTTTTTTAACAAAAGGCCGGGTAAAAGGTTAAAGTTTGATATCTTTTAGCAAAATCGGGTCAAACTCCTAGATCAAGGTAAAGACGTCAAATTTGGTGATATCCCCAAAAAGGTCTTGCCACAAGGAATATAAATATGAAAGCCAAAGCTGCAACAAATAAAAAAAAATTGGTTAAGGTTAAAGTTTTTTGCGGACAAAGAGACAGAAAGACAGGGCAAAAACTATATACCCTTGAATCTACGATTTTGGGGGCATAAAAAGTGTTCGCTAGTTCTCCTATATATTACTTCATCCTGATAGTTTAAAGTGAAAGTAGCTTAGTTACCAATTTAACGATGACAGAACATAGTGAAATTTACGGTTTCATTTTGTTTTTGTTTTTTTGTTTTTTGGAGTTGGAGTTGGTGGGTATGATAATTTTCTTAAATCTTGAGTTTCTACGTCACTTAGCCTAAAAAAAAACTTTCACATGCATTTTGCTCTCTTATTATCATTCCTTATTGTGGGGAAAAGTCAAAGTTGTTAAATTAATGTTCTGTGATGAGGCATTTTTATGCATCTGAATAAGACGGTCGAACTTGAAACGTACAAGAAAAATTTAATACGCAACCTTATGACTAATCCAAAGTTTGAAGAAAAATATCGTTATTATTAGTTCCCGTTTTTTACGAAGAAAGTCAGAATTATACATAAAATAAAATAGACTGAAAATTGTTTTATTTTTCTTAATGAATGTTTAATTTATAATAAATCATTTTCCAATCAATTTAATTTGTATTTTTTAAGATGGACATTAAGTTTTACGATGCAAGTTTACGACTATACGTAAAAAGAATATTATTTCACTTTCTCGCTGAATTGTGATAGCACGTTCCAGTTTTTGCGAAATCCTTGTATGCTTTCAAAGAAATACATTTTTTGAATATTTTGGAGAGAAGTGTATGAAGAAAAAAAAATACCGCATTAAATTTAGTATGAATCTCACACTCAAAATTTCATAAATCAGCATTCAGTAAAAAAAAAAATAAGAAAAAGAGTGTGTATCTGTTACATCATAAATTAATTTCATGTGATCATGTGAAAAACGTGTGCATTTTATGTGTTTTCTTGTAGGTTTGTACAATTTGTACCAAAACAGTTTTCCAAACACGTCAAGACCCTTCGCGTTTAATGCATTCAAGGATACACATCATTCATAGATCTGTATTTCACTTTTAAATCATTTCCATATCTAAAAGATTTTGTAGACAATTTTTTCGCCAAGAGGTAAACTATATCATAAATATTTCACAAATATTTCTTTAATTCATCCCCAATGTTTATAATATAAGCATCCTTCAAGAGAGCAAAATGTGATTGGTCCGTCATCGACGCTTATGTTTTTGCATCGTAATATCTCCCGACACGACAATAATTCATTTATTACATCAGGTATCCTATAATTAAAAAAGAAATCAAATTTACTTTGTTCGTAATTGTACATCATTACTCTCAAAGGTGAGTATCACATAATTAAAAAAAATCAATTGAACATTGTCTATAATGCAGTGTGTAAAGTGCGCTGAATACAAGGCAGGTTTTTTTTTCCGCAGTTCGATATCAATATATTTTCCGTCCAAAAATCGTTTAACCTGTATCGATAATCTTACGATGTAGCATAATTAAGTCAACCCAAAACTGTCTCTCTCTCTCTCTCGCCTTTATTAGAAAACATTCTCATTTTTTCTTGGTAAGAGGAACTTGGTTGATTTTGTGCCAGAAATTGGCAGTTTTACGAGCCTTTTGTAATAAACACTATATTTATTGCGCGATTTTCTGATAATGAAGCTTTTGAAATGAAATATTTGACAGAAACTTATTTATTGTTTTCCCGTCGAGGTAAAAATGACTCTAGTTATATTTGTTTCGTTAAACAATGATACAGAATACATATGTATGAAGAAAAAATAAAACGCAACAAATGAATGTCTTGGACCTGTGGTTCTGAAGGATAGCAAAAATAATCTACAAAGCAATACTTATTGTCTGTCAAAACATTTCATTCTCAAACAAAAATATTACAAAATAAATAAAGTGGACCCATGACTGGCGTGCTTACCAGTCAAGTGTAAAAGGGGGCAAAGTATTGAATTGTAAAATTAATTAAAGCCTTTGAACATGTATTGGTCTAGTGAACTATTCAATCGATTCACAATATGCCGGAATTTTGAATTAAATTGTTAAAAGTAAAGAAACAAGGACATGTAAGTGTTGTATATTTGAATCTTTTAGCTACAAAGAAAAATACTAGTGAAACAATCCACTGTAAACTTAAGAGAAATAGAATGCTGTGCAGGTCTCATTATCTTTTTTTCTCTCTTTCTAAGGACGAAATTCTTCAAAATCATGTCAGTTTTGGATATTTCAATATCCCAAAAGACCCAAATTGATTTTGATTAATTGATTAAATATTGTTTAACGCCAAGTCGGCAATCTTTCAGCCATGTTTTGGCGGTAAATTGATTTTGAACTACCACATATATATTGGATTCCGAAACTTCATAAGAGTCCTTACAAACAAAGTTACATAGCGGGTTCCAGTAAATGATCAACCGAGCCTCTTTCTTTACTAATCTCCAAGATATTAACAGTAGTCAAGGAGAAACCTCAGGAGTACTGTGCAATAATATATTCAAGAAGTGGTGTAAATCAGATGTGGACTATTAAAAATTCCAAGGAAGTTTTGGACAATTTGAAATCACAAGATTTTACCTAAATCAACAGCTTAAAAACTTAAGACTTTTCAACTTTATATACAACCTTTCCCCACGATAAGTATTATTTAAAGTTTCCTACTGGCAGGGCGGGGCGTGAGGCGAGAGCGATAGCTCGAGCCGGGCCCCGCCCTGTATCTCCGATACAGTTGGAAACGAGTGTTCTAAATGACTTGTGACATGACCCTTCTAATGACCTCACTAATTTACATGCGTATTTGGGTACATATCTCTCAACCAATCAGATGATTTTGCAGAAAGTTGATTTAGTATCCCATTTTAAGCATTCGCAACTGAAATGCCGATTGAGGCGGACGTGCAGGTATTTATCATTTTAAAATAATTATTTAGGGGATGCATTATATAATTTGTTTTCCAAAAAATTAAGTTAGATTTGATTGCGTAGGTTTTTAAATTTTTTCTATTCAGCTGTTGCCGACATTTTTTTAATTTAAGTTAAATTTAGATTGAATGCATAACATTTTAATATATAAGAATCATGTGGAAATGTTTTTGAAACAAAAATACTTCGGAGAAAAGGTATACTGAGAGAAATGTCCGACAATGTCCTCCGCCTTTCGTAATATAAAAAAAATTGAAAAAAACAGATGAAATGAAAGCGGGGGGGGGGGGGGGGGGGGGGGGGGTAATTTACCTTCATATTTTTAATAAAATGTAGAGTAACCAAAGGGGATCCCAGCACTCACTGGTGCCCCCCCACTCAACCCTCCTGTGAGTTTTTTTCTTTTTCGCTTTCGTAAATGATTTTTGCTAAACTTGTATACATACGCTTTTTACTAGTAATTTATCAACAAGAAACGATAGCACCACATAGTGTCTTGGTTGGTTATAAATCTACCCCACCCCCCCGATATATACGAGTTTCCACTTATTTTTTTTCGGGGGGGGGGGGTTCAAAGTAATCTTTTGTGAACTGTCCCACTCCCTCCTTTCTAAAATTTTAAATTTTTGAATCCGACACTAATAACTTGACGTTGTGAAATTTTATTCTTAATTCACCTCAACTTTTGAGTAAATACTAACAGTGCTTTCATGGGAATTGAACGATTCTTGTGTCTATATACTGATCCAGCTTTCCGACATCGCTAAAAATAAACCGTACTGTATCGTTGATATTTTGCAGATACAGTACAGTTTCTGCTCATTTGCATAAGAAACGCCCACAAAAAGTGTTCTGTATCGCAGTTACAGTATGCTTGACTTCAAAGGAAAACTTGCCGGGTCGTGTCACAAATTAAAGTCCAGGCTTTTCGATATCATTGACGAACTGTTCTTTTTTTCAATAAAAATGGAACTTCTAAATTCACTTACCTTGTCATTGGTCATTTGCAAAATTATTTTATTAAAAACATTCTGATTGTACACACAAGTACTCTGAAGTCGACATCAAAAAGAAGCTTGATTTTCTGATTGACAATATCTATGTTGTAACTGGAGACCAGGTCTTCCAACAATCTATTAGAATTCCAATGGGTATCAATTGCACCCCGTTGTTAGCAGACCTTTTTGTATTCATATGAAGCAGAATTTGTGCAAAATCCTATGCGTGAAAAGAAAACACTTGCTATGGCCTTCAACTCGGCATTTAGATATATCGACGACGTATTGTAATTAACAATTGTAATTTCCATTCTTATGTCGATACGCTATAAGATAAAAGACATCACAGAGTCTGACACATCTGTTTCATATTTGGATATTTTACTTGTAAAAGACGTTAATGGCAGTCTTACCACCAAGCTCTGTGGTAGATGTAATGACTTTTACTTTTCAACCGTCAACTTTCCTCGCTTATGCAGCAATATACGAGTACCTTCATTACCTGCATATGGAGTTTATGTATCTCAGTTGATTCGATACGCAAGAACATGCTCTACGTATGAAGAATTTCTAAAACGAGGTAAATTATTGACAAACATCATGATGTAACAAGAATATCAGCAGTATCGTTTAAAGTAATCATATAATTATGTTCTATGGTCGATACAATGACCTTGTGAACAAATACAATTTCAGATGCTGACTGAGGTTTTTCATACTAATTGTTAATCCATTATTTATACATTGAATTGACAACAGATTTTCTCTATATTTTCCGATCATGGCGAGGAGCACACGGCGGATGTGACCGGTCAACAAGGGATGCTCATTCCTCCATGGCACCTGATCCCACCTCTGATGTTTCGGAGGTCCGTGTTTGCTCTGCTCCTATTTTGTATTGTTTTATGGACTTTTGATCTTGAATACTGTTCGTTATCTCCATATGTTTCTCTTTATTATTATTAATTGTATTCTGTCATTTAAACTTGTTATAGGTATTAAAAATTCAACTGCAGAAAATTCCTGTTTCCAGGATTCGGAAAATTAGCTGCATTTTTCAAAGAATAGTTTCAAATAAAGCAGTTACTAATTTCTTCTTTGTAAATCTTGTCTCGAAGTCTGTCGCAGCAGTCACAATGGCCAGATTAAAACAGCACATCAAATTTAATCAATGATTATTGCATCTTTTTTAGAGTGAATATTTGACCCTGTTCCCAGACTTCAAGGGAATATCGATGATCAAAACTGTGAAAGGGAAAATTGATGGACTGGTAATACAGGATGACCATTTGATTAATAGTGGGTCATAAATTTTGCAAATGGCCTTTCTGTTCTTTACTGAACCTAAAATAATAATTTGATTAATTCACGTTCAGGACAAAAAGGATTTAATCCAAAGCTTTGCTTTTATTATCGTCTTTTTTCATTATAGCAATTAAGATATCAATCAATATATATGTTATAAAAGTTTCTGCTCTGTAACGATTCTCACAGCTCTAAACAAAAACGTGTTAGTTCCATATATTTTGTCTGCGGGGTTTGTATCTTGATATGTACTTAGTTGTAATAAATACTTAGGAATTGCAGACAATAATTGTTTGATCTGAAAAGTCTTAGGACAACTACACATCCCTGCTCCTTACCTTTTTCTTTGATTCCGACATCCTCTGATCACGTGACGACATTGCCTCACCAGGGGTCTTTTTAACCCACATTGCGATGATGATTCTACCATATGCACAAATAAAGATAATGAGAGGAATGAAATACTGAAGTAACAATATGGCTACTCCATAAATGTACTCCAAGGTTTGGTCTTGCCAGAGAATTTCCTCACAAAACTCTGGTGCTGTTGATACGTTAAGGTATGTATGCGTCCGAGCTGTCAAGGCAGTCGGCATATTAATCACAAAAGAAAACAACCAAATCACTGATATCACAATAAATGCCTGCATTTTGGTCATCTTAGCTCGGAAGGGGTATATGATGGCGACGTATCGGTCGATGCTAATTGCGACGAGTGTTAGGGAGCTCAGAAACACGGTGACAGATTGTAGGAATGTTACGACGGGACACATCGTCTCCCCGAAGGGCCATTCATTGAGGACAAGGTTGGCGATAAAGGTGAAGGGGATGCAGAAGACCGCCATTAAAATGTCACTGAGAGCGAGGCTGACGATGAAGAAGTTCATGACTGTCCTCATCCGCCGGGCTCGAAATACTATGTAACAAACTGTCCCATTACCGCCCACTGAGAGAAGAATGGTGATGGAATATGCCGTGATGATGATGGCCTGGACATAGCCTGGAACTTTAAGGGGTTCGTACACAAATTCCCCTTCGGTGTCTTTTGTTTTATTTCCAACGATAGTACTGTTTGGTAACGAGGAATTTTCGTATTCCATCATTTAGGTAGATGTGGGATCTTCAGTGTTCATGATCTGAAACAAAATTGGCAATTTAAGATTTAACATTGTTTTCGTTTTAGCTTTTTGGAATATGAACACAACTGGCATCAGATCTGATATCACAGTGTAGAGAATATGTCATCCAGTGTTAACATTCTTATTTAAAATGATGTTAGCAATAGGTAGAAGTCACATGCATGACGTCATATGTGACGTTATAATAATTTTCCTGTCACAAAAATGTCCCTCGACCATTAGGTAAGGGAGTAATAAGAAAAACATATGACGTCACATGATGTGATAGCAACAACAAAAGTGAGCCAATGAACTTGTTTTGTTTCCACATTTCAGATTTCACCTGTTTACAAGTCATTCTTTTAAGATGCAGTATAAGAACACTGAAGTCCATGTCATCAGGATTGCTATTAACTGATATCTTGGCGTATCAGATCTCAAATATTTCAGATTTATGATTAATTGGGAAAATAACTTAATGCCCGATTTACGGAGGATGTCATATAAAAACTAATTACAATGTGGAAGACTACACTTGCCTGAAAGCATTGTACCTATGACCCATTAGGTTTAGTTCAAAAAGTCGCCTTGATGATCAAGAGGTAACTGATTAAGGGGTCGATAGTCGGAAAAAATATAAACTAAATTCTGAATTGGCCGGACAACTACATCTTTTTGTAAAAGGTTAAGCAGTAAAATTAAAAGATTTATTAACTGATATATTTCATAAAAATTCTTACAGCTAAATGAGAAAACCCCATAAATTACTTGAATAAGACAATATTGCTTTGACAGAGCTTAAAGGGAAGAAAGATTTGGTATAGTCGAATTGGAAACCTTTACAACCTTTAATATGGAAAAAAAATTGAATAGATTTGCTTCTAATCCATACGGATGGAGAATGCATTGTTATAACTGTTGTTCATGGGCGCACTCTTACAGACCTTTTTCCGGTACATCTGAGTTCCATTTAGGAAAACGTTTTAGTTCCTATGTTCGAGCGTGTTCCTATTCCGATAATAAAACATAATCATTAAGAAATAATGGGTGTACAAAAAACTTAATTGCATATAATACCACTGCAATGTGCACTGCTTTAAAAAGATTAACTTTAAGCGGATACATTTCTTTATGTTAACGTTCAGGCAAGAAGGTGTTTACGTCAATGAACACTTCCGGTTTAGTTTTATGTTTCCGAAAGTCATTTGGACATTAGCCTTAAATTAAACATCCGAAGTCGCCTGTCACATAATGGAACAAAATATTTCCTAAAGTGATCGTCCTAATTTTCAATTATGTTAACACAGCTCATTAAAAGAACATTTCAATACCCGGTCTGAAAAATACATTGACTTAGCTATTGACTTTGGGAATTAGAAATCGTAAAATTCTCCAGAACAAAATAATTACTTTGAATTCTCCAAAAAGAACAGTACGTCAATCGGGACATTTTTTTTTCTACTGATAACTATAATTTAAAATAAAAAAAACTTGAATCTATAAAAAAAATAAATTCAAATTTAAGGATTTGATTAAATAAAACAGATACATGTAATGCATAAATATATGATATAGTATACCTGTAGTTGTGTGCAGGTATCCAGAGGAGTTTTGAGGGTCTCTTGTCCAGTTTTTGTTGATGTTCGCTCCATAGATGACGTAGTTCATCAAATTCTTCACTGTAACCAATAAATGGCAAACATTTAATGTAAATAATGATTTCCCCCCAGGGTAACTCTTTTTGGTCCGTCCTTTAATTTAAATAGGGTGCATCATTTTCTTTCTCGGAGGGTGTTATGGTAAGGCGGTCAATGTTGACCAGTTTTAGATTAAAATCTTCCTTGGTCGCAGAATGGGGGTAAATTACACGAAGAAGTTAACACGGACGTATTTAAAAAAAATATACATATATTTCAAAACCTTAAAGAAAATCAGCTCGACAATTCTTGAAGTAGAACTTTGTTGATAGAATAGATTTATGTTAATGGTCTTCACTAAGAAACTTATCCTGAATGAACAACAAATGTTAATTTTACAATATAATACTAGTAAATGTTGACGGATTTCTTGATTTCGATATTCAAACAATCTTGTTGTCATCCGTCTGTAAAGAAATAAGCTTATCATTTTTTGTGTCTATATAAGATTAAAGTGATTTTCTGGTCCATCTGCATGAAAATCTTACAATTACATGCATTTATCTTGAAACAGACTTCATAAGCCAAAATCTAGCAATATTTTGACGGATTTCTATTTTTTCCTCGTTGAGGTGCATCATTGAAGTGTCCTTGAACATACAGTATTAACTCGGACGACATCTTCCATGTCACTGCATACGAGAAAGAGAAGGACCAATTTGTACAAAAAAATTAATCCTAACAAGTAGTCAGGTTGCCGTGCTCATTGCAGACTTAAATCTTATTGTAAGTTTAATCATAAATTGTAGGTTTTCGTTCGAGGATAAGACCGTTCAACTGAAAAAGTATTTTTGAGTATTAATGGACCTGTCTGCTTCCAAATAGCCCCAATAGGAAAAAATTTGATTTTGACTTGCTGTACCCGCTGATATCTTGACTGATATGACGTTTTAGTATTGTATTGTTTAGAGATTACATGCTAGCATGCCAAATGTTAAATCTAAAGCTTAAACCTTTGAACTTATCTAAGATAATCGAAGATATATGTTTAAATTTAGAGTTAATACTAGTATCTTGTTTAATGTAACACATTAATAGTGTCTAGTTTTATGCACTTTTTAGATAAGTCTTCTTAGGTTTTCACATAATTGTGTTTTTTTTTTGTTTAACCTATGAAAGTAACTTTTGTCACTCTTGAAAGAAGAAACAAAATGCCATGAATAAAAATTTTCAAATCTTTCGACGTTTATGCCAAGATTCTGTGCCATTTCAGACTTAATGTTTCATAGAATTCGTGTACAGTTAAATCATTCCGCGGACGATTACTATAAAGTACGTGAAAATGAGAACTGCGTATCTTCAAACCTAAATCGCACGTGAAGAGTATGCGACCTGAAAGATACAAACTTATTTTAGGGGTTGTCTTAACCCAGTTATCAAATATCCGGCACGAATCTGAAACAGACCATACTGCCCCGCTAACGAGGTTCGGGTGAAACGGAATCCACGCTTAATCTTAGAGAAATATTTTTTCTTAGAACTAGTTTGTCTATCCCTTCGATTAGATACTCATCAAAAGATAAACACTTAACTCGGGTTCAGGTGTGCAAAATCAACATGTAGCTTCTAAAATACATCGGGATCGGTGTAAAAAATAAATCATTAATTGACATATGTATGTATGAAATTAATATTATATATGTTAATCCTTTGTTCATTTGTTACCTTATCATTGTTGATTTATTTCTAGTTTGTACTTTTATGCCTCATGTGAGGCTCTAGCTAAAGTGAAATAAAATGTTCAAAATGAGTTCTTCACTATTTTTTTATTTACTTATATATTATACGAGTATATTTTTAAAATAAAATTTCATAAACATAGTTAGCTTTTATGGAATCATTTATATGAAATTAGTTAATATAACAATTGACACTAACTTAACTTATCCTTGATCCACACCTGATCGAGTTCTATGGGATCAGTATTAAGGACCAATCTATGCCGACTTTTTAAGACTCAGCTATACTAAATTTGAGGTATCCGGTTTTGGAGAGAAGTCTATAAAATATGTATTTTAAGTAAAGATTTCGTCAAGTATTGCTTTGAAATAGCAATCTAGGATAGGAATTGTTAATAGATATATTGCTTATCAATCATAGGGTGAAAGAAAGGCAGATCATGGAAGTGATAACTCTAAGACAACACTGTCTACAAATTAAACAATTCGCACACGATTAGATACCGTGGCTTAGGATTCCTTTACCTTCAGCTCTGTTAGGATCAGGAAGCTTCAATATTGATAAGACCTCTAATAGACAACATCCCATTCCGATCTTATTGGTGTCGAAAGTGAACAAAAAGAAATCAATGGATAAAAGTAAATAAGTCTCCCATACTCAGGACAAATGAGTAAATAATGAATTGACTGTAAAAGGGCGACGTTGTCTGTGGCGGTTTGATTGCAGACTTTTATGACAATACCCCCTCTCTGTAAGCCGCTCAGAGCTTCTCCGTGGAAAACTTAAGCTTCAATTTATAGGGTTAGAATTGAGCCTTCCTCTAAGTAGAGAGTCTTCAGTATATGATCCAGAACACTTTTAGGGGGAAAATGTTACATTTAGCTCTTTTATTGGAAATTATTTCTAATAAAAGTGTAAAATGAAACACGTTTTATTTCTAAAGAGTGCTTTTATTTTTCTGTTCATGTATTTCCTGAGGTTAAAAACAAACAATCAATGTATGCACAAAGAAAGCAAAGGAGATTTTAAATACGTGTAAAAATAAAAGAATTAACAAATGTTTGATTATGAATTAATCTTTTATATGTAAGGCAATATTGTTGAAAAGACTTTCATAAGTAATTACCTGTAATTTACAAAAGATTCTATACCAGTATAATAAAGAAATGCAAACAGTAATGATTGAATTAGCTCAATGTTATTTTAATTATATAAATTACAAGAAGAATTTTTCTTATGATATTTGAACAAAATTGCTAGAGCCTATATTTGAAAATATCTTTATAATTTAGAAATTTAATTTGACACACCTAAAAGTTAACCTATAAATATCTCTATCTTCCCAATTTTTCTGCAGTATAACACCAATAAAATAATCATATAGGTATCTACCCCAAACAAAGCTAAGAACTGAAACTGACCGATGATCTTACCGTTGAGGCTTGAGTATCCATCACACGAGCTGAAGAAACATGTCAGTACGTAAACAGAGGCTGAAGCAACAGGCCGTCTCCAGTGTTTCATATAGTCTCTTAACCAATTAGAATCTGGTAGGCGGTGGTGTGCTATAGTCGGGAGAAAACATCGGGAATGAAGCAACCGTACGGTGTACTAACATCCTCATATAAATATGTTATCAAAAATGTGCACTTTTACTTATACAAACGGCTCATCAATGGCAGTGTGGCAAATGCTTATTCATATTTCTCAGCGTGCTTTCTGATCAAAGTGAACAATAATGCTCTTGTTCATGTCCCATTCATGTTTTCTGATATCGTACTTATTTCTATGTGTATTATCTTATGAAAATACCATATGTTTAGGGCAATTTATTTACAAAGTGCACAATTTGCAGCATTAGGTATCAAAGAGACATAGGAAAGGTCGAGACAGGTGAAGAGTTTTTTTATATAATTATAGATTTGCAGGTACTCTGAACAATCGTTACGGCATACAGCCTCTATTGACCATTGACTGCAACTTACATCTGCTACTGACGTACATGTATGCTCCATTGTGTCCGCTGTCGGGTCAGATCAAGGAAGTTATCAATGACCGGATCTAATTATCACCGGCTTGTTTTTCTGTATGTTATACTCACTATATGAGTGCTCAAAGGTCCTACAACTAAAAAAAACTAGAACCGAGATACATACCGTAAAATAAATCAGTGCTTTATGAATGCCCTTTGTAAGGATTGTTGTGATAGGATTTGTTAATGATGACCCCAACTCAGGTAAAGGTGACAAGTTCAAGGTCACAGGGATTGGAGAGATCATTCTGACGAGGCACTTCTATTGTGGGAAAATGTTGAAACTTACTGAATACATGTACTTGACTTACAGATAAATTTTTTTCAGAGAATTAACCTTGTCCATAGGTCCATTTGATAAGGTTTTTAATTTACTTTGATTTTTCATTTATCTAAATTAGAGAAAAATAAAATATTGCTTTAAAAAGTTTTATGATGATTGTTTCAATGAAAACATCAGAAGTGTGACGATTGATTAAGTCGTCGACCAAAAGAAAAATCTGTATTATAGAAGCTATATTGGTATGTTCTGGTGTAAGTTTGAACTAGACGCAATAAGAATACATTTCTAATCAAAGTATGGAATGTAATTTTTCTCAAAAATCTTTGAATTAGTGTGTAATGCTTTATTTAATATTTGACTGTATGAGAAGAAAAGAATATTTTCTCATTATGAATGAAAAAAATATTTTCAACTTGAGTATTGTTTCACTAGACTAGACTTGTTTTCTATTTGAGGTAAGAGGTTGGGTGATAAAAAAAAGTCCAAGACTCTCCATTAATTTCATACTCTAAATAAAAAAAGAAGACTTTCATACGCTCGCTTGGCCACTTTTGAGCAAAAAATTAATGCGTAGACAGCCAATTAAAACTAACGACAAAAAATTAGGAAGCGAACATCATTGTACATTGCGCTTTTTGATATTTATTGTAGAGCTTCAGTTTTTCTTCCGTCGTGAAAAAAAAAATCAGAACCAAAATTATACGTCAAAAAGAAGTATTTTATCTTCATAATGTTCTTTACAATTTAGCCTTAATTTCTACTTAAATTCTAATCAGTTTGATCTGGGGGAAACTTTTTTTTTTGTCTTTTCAAAAAAAACGTGATTTTCTGCATTTTCTTTGTATGGAAAAAATGGCTGAAAAAATTGCTAAAAAATCTATTTATCGATGAAAAAATGACGAAACGTTCCTTAACAACAAAATAGAGTCAAACTGGACCATTATAGCTAATCTAGTTATGATTTTTGCTGTAAATGAAGAATATTAGATATGTGTAGGCACCCTTCAATTACTTGAATTATAGGCGAAAATCTAATCAATCACGCTCATTGAAGGAAGGGATGGTGTGTTCAGCTTTAAATGCTATTTTCTCTGTATTAATTTGAAGAATTGCGACAGAGCACATTGGAATCGATTGACTAAGTGAGACTCTGACAGAAAACAAACTCCATACAATTGTTTACAACTTATTAATGCCACATAGTTCTCTACGCAATCTTATCAAAACTGTCTTTCTACATTTATCTTGTCGTTTAAAAAGTACAGAATTCTTCGGAAAATCCCAGGTCACAAGGATTTAGTTTGCAATGCTTTAATTTTCTAGAGTAAATTGACAATAATATATGAGTGAGCAATAACGAATAAAGCCTTAATGACAAGAACATGCAGGGATTATATGACCGGGGTTCTAGCACCAGATCAGGACAGATTGCTTAGCTGAAATAAAAATTGTCACCGACAGACGTGCTTCTTTTCAATTAATCTCAGGATTCCGATTTTATGGAGTCTGTCGTCACTTACAAATAACCATAAGGTTCTGACTGTTCTTATTAAACAGTTAGGCTGCCTTATTTAATGGGAAGCTGATCATCAGCTCATATCTGTTGCTACCTTCAAAGTAGAAAATGGATATTAGCACTACATTGCAAGGGATACTTGCCATATTATGTAAAGCCTCGAACACATCTTCTCTTTATAAACTTTATCAATTTTTTAACCATGTAAGAAATTTACACTGCTTATATTTCCGACTCGACCTTGTTCAAATGAAAGAGTGCGGTTAAGGTCACCGTAATGGAGGAAATAAAATGGAACCAACATCTCCCAATTCATTTGATACTCTGAACTCAAGACCACGCTTCGAGTATGATCAGTTTGTGAACCGAGGCAGGCTACTGACACATGAATTGATGCTGCTGGGATTTCAACAACCTCGTTACGCCTTTATTTTGAATAAGGAATGTTCCATGTACCTGCATGATCAAGACATAGGGCTAATGGCCGGTGTGACCGGTCGACAGAGGATACTTACTCCTGTAGGGTATCTGATCTAACCTCTATAATATACAGGGCTCCGTGTTAATGCCTTCCTTACAGTTTCGTATTGTTTGTATATAGATTTGAGATCGATCACTGCTTGAACTCTTCACCCTTTTAATAATGTACGACACTGGGTGAGTGACAATCATTAATTTTACTTTTAAACATTGTTAGATGGTTTTTTAAACCAGAAGTCTCTGTCGAGTCAGAAGCTCTACAGGTTTGTACTTATAACAAAGGAAGAGAAAAGTACTTAAGCAGTTGGGAATTGAAATTTTACAACAGCAATAAATAGAGTATGATCCTTGATTAAGTCTCTTTATGTTCTTAGTGTAGTCTACTTGTATGCCAAATTATATTATAATCAAACTAAATCTGTATTTGGAGTAGCATTTTGAGAGTATTAATCAGAAATTTGTATTTTTATTAACCATAGCAACACCGATCATCGAAATCAAAAACTGATACACACAACTGAGTATCTTAGTGTAGTGTACTTGTGTGTCAAGTTATATTGAAATCAGACCAAAACTGTAGGAGGAGTAGCATTTTGAAAAATTGTTTACAGACAGACAGACGGACGGACGCCGGACGCATTACTATCGCATAAGCTCTGCTGGTCTCTGACCAGTAGAGCTAAAATGGTTGATTTTATGATTAAGGTGTTTTATTAGACTGTACTAAGG